CATGTAGAGACACAAAAGTCTTATGTTCGTTTCAATACAATCCTTAAGAAGATTGTTACAGCATTCATCATTCACTTCTTGTTTCTTCAATGAAGGCTCTGCTCTGCTGTGCTAAAGTTCTCTCTGTCTGGTGTCTAGCTCCAATCTCCTCCCCATCTCCCATTTAGCTCCAGAGCTGGTCCCTGTTACCCGCCGCCTCTGTGCAATTGAGGTGCTCTCTCTGCTTGGCTTCTTGCTTTGATCTCCATGCCCCATAAAATTCAGGGGGTGGGGGGGGATTGGGGGTAATCAATGGTATCAATTCCTTCATCCTCCAGGAATTGCCTGCATACTCTAGCCACATGAGGCCGGTCATTGTGGTGCACCAGGAGGAACCCAGGACCCACTGCAGCAACATAGGGTCTGACAATGGGTGCAAGAATTTCATCCTGATACCTAATGGCAGTCAGGGTGCTGTTGTCTAGCCTGTATAGGTCTTTGCGTCCCACCATGGATATGCCTCCCCAGACCATCACTGAACCACCACCAAACCGGTCATGCTGAACGATGTTACAGGCAGCATAACGTTCTCCACGCCTTCTCCAGACCCTTTCATGTCTGTCACATGTGCTCAGGGTGAACCTGCATCCATCTGTAAAAAGCACAGGGCGCCAGTGGCGGACTTGCCAATTCCGGTGCCCATCGAGCTCCACGGTGCCGGGCAGTGAGCACAGGGCCCACTAGAGGACATCGGGCCCTCAGGCCACCCTCATGAAGTCTGTTTTTGATTGTTTGGTCTGAGACATTCACACCAGTGGCCTGCTGGAGGTCATTTTGTAGGGCTATGGCAGTGCTGCTACTGCTCCTCCTTGCACAAAGCAACAGATACCGGTCCTGCTGATGGGTTGTAGACCTTCTACAGCCCTGTCCAGCTTTCCTGGAGTAACTGCCTGTCTCCTTGAATCTCCTCCATTCACTTGAGATTGTGCTGGGAGACACAGCAAACCTTCTGACAATGGCATGTATTGATGTGCCATCCTGGAGGAGTTAGACTGCCTGTGCAACCTCTGTAGGGTCCAGGTAGCGCCTCGTGCTAACAGTAATGACAGTGACCCTAGCCAGATGCAAAACTGGTGAAAAAGAGTCAGAAAAGATGAGGAGGGGAAAAAATGTTTTGATGGTCATCTCGTTGTTGCCCCTCTAGTGCACCTGTTGTTAATTTAATTAACACCAAAGCAGCTCAAACTGATTAATAATCCCATCTGCTACTTACCTGACCAAATCAATATCCCAGAAGTTTAATTAACTTGATGCTATACTCTGATTACAAAGTGTTTAATTTTTTTGAGTTGTGTAAAATGAAAATAAGCTACTTAGCCTCAGTGAGGCTGACTGAATCCCAATGCTCAACAGAAGGTTGCTCTCCCTAAGCATGGATGTGCTAGAATTTCCAGCTGTGATATGGAGATTTCATGCTACCTGAGTGCAAAAATCGAAACAAATGATACCTGTCTCCAGTTGTTGTAGGTTTGGTGCAAGCTTAGCTTTTAAAAGAAGATCTTTTCAGGAAAAATATATCATATTTAGATTATTGGGATTTATTCTAAGCCATAGTGCAATTTGATATTGTACAGCATTTTCAGCTTGTCCTAAGATTGTCGTTCTATTTTCTGTGTTCTTACAGAACTGTATCCTCTCATTCAGTGCAACTTCAAGCAGTAATGAAGGTTTCTATGCAGTCCAAATAGTGATGGAGGACTTTCCCAGACAGCAAATCACCCTGACTCACACTGATGGGTCACATGTTGTGAAAACTACCAGTGATGCAATCAGCAGGATTCCCATCCAGTTTGCTTTTCTAGGTAAATTGTGAACATATTGTCAGCATATTTACAACCACGAAAAGTTATTATAACATAAGATTTATTTCAGGTGTTTAGTTTTGGTTAAGTTTTAATATTTATTTTTATGTATATATTGAGTAATTGCATGATAATCTGTGGCAAAGTCATAAATGTGATTTATAGACAAACAGGTCTACAGTTATATTTCCAGCTGAGAATGGCTAAAATTTTACAAATGTGTTTCAGTGGATCCTGCAGCACCATCCTGCTCAGTAGGTGATTATCTGCCCAGATTTCTGTCTCCAACTCCAGAATACGGAACTCGGTTCTACACTCCGGTCAGCCAGACTCTGGAGATCAGCATTAGAGCAGTGGCAACTCAATCTATGTAAGGAAATACAAAATGCATGGCAAATAGATTCACTAGAAGCAAAATGAAAGATGCATAATATTTTTATTCAATTCAGCTTATTTTTATGGTGCCATTTCACAAATAAAAATTATCTCAAGGCACCTTACATAGACAGTTTAATCCACTTATATAGTCAAACTGGGTAAACGTTTTCTTTCCAAGGAAAACCAGCTGATTGCATTGAGTAATTAACTTTGCAGGACACGGTCCTACTGCAAATGACAAGAGTAGATATTTGCTTGCATTGCAACAGTGACTTTTCAGCAGTCCCTCACAATGAGCATGCATGCAGCGACAGCGGAGAGGAAAAACTCCCATCAAACAGGGAGACACCTCCAGCAGATCCAGGCACATAAGGAGCGCCCATCTGCTAAGATAAAATTTTGGTCAAAAATTGATTTTCCAAAGATGTTTTTATTTGTCTTTTATTTATTTAAAAAT